TAAGCGACTACATCGATCGAAGGTATTAAAATATTTGATTCTTGTTTACAGAATTGCCATGTTAATATCAGAATGCTTTGAAAATCTTTTTTCTCTAGTGATGAAATGGTAAAACTTTAATATCACTTATTACTGTTAATGAAGTCTCCCTAGAATCTAACCCAGAGCCATAATATCCATAATATCCTAATCCATATTTAATACATATAAATTACAACACTATCGTGTTGTATGCTTACCGCATTTTAATTTCGTTCCTTAAACCTAACAATTAACAATCACAATAACGCGATTACCGAGTGTCATAAACGAGATATATGATTCAGTGATACACATTACAGAATCAAAAGACGCATTGACAGCAGCTGCTTTCTCCTCAATGGAAATCGTTGTCATATTTGAATGTGCTGCAGTGCAAGTGCGCGCAACCATTCATAAGATGTAAAAGATATATGAGGACATGAGATATATTATGATGTATACATTTACTAAGCTTATGAGACCCATTTAGCTGTCAACCTCTATGAATATGATATAACTTAAACGAATGGTGAGAAGCTAAATGAGTTTAGAATTTGCGTTTTCAAGTCTAGAAATTACGAATATAGTCTAATTATATTATAGTCAACAGTAAATTCAAAGTATAAATTAATATGGATAAGTACATATTTTATGATAACCTTTACTAAGTGTCCCAGTCTGCGCTATTAAATGCGTATTTTACATAGGCCGTCGCACGGATTATCAAAATACAAAAAATACTGCATGGTATGGCCGCTGAGAAACTATGTAATATAATATAATGAAAATGGCCGGCAGGTCCAATTAATTAATTTGAATAGAATAGGTATAGTCTACTTGATTAAGTATAAGTACTACTATTGACGTTACTTTAATTTTTTTCTATTTCAGGGGACATAAGACAATTTTTAACTCATTTTACGTCATATTAGGTATATTTGATTGTTGTAAGAGGATATTTTTACTTTAATATTTGTTGAGCATAGTTCACTATTATTTTAAGGTTAACAACATACTACCCCTAGACCAGTGGTTCTTAACCTTTTTCGGATAACGGAACACTTAACATTTTATAAGGTTTTCGCGAAACACAGCCGTAAAATAAAATAGTAATTTATTACATTTTTTAATCTTTTAATATATTAACCTAAAATGATTCTAGGTATACACTATACAGTATATTGTTATACACGTCTTATGCTTTTGTGTGTTGGAAGTCCATAAAAGTCAAAATATTAAGACAATGAAACCAAACATTTTTTTTGGCGGGACACTTATACCAAGTCCACGGAACACCGGTTAAGAACCACTATACCCTAGACGGCTAGACTTATGGTTACATCTCTTATCAACGTGACCTAACGGATTTGTATGGTAGATATCAATAACCATGGAAAAAACAAGGTGGTGCACTGGTGCGTACGAAATACAAATTGCGTAAAAATTATAATATCACATAGGTATCTAGAATTTGTTACAAACACTAATTTGATGACGACCGCGGTCGAGTTACCCGGTAAGTAGTTGTCAGTTGGTACATATAATACATATAATATAGTTATTAATATTGTACCTGCAAGTTATATTGGTATAATGGCATAGATAATAAAATTATGTTAGTTGTGTTTTTGAAACTGTTGCCGTCACTTTTATTGTCTTATGTACCTAGTTGAATATAAATGTTTATTTACACCAAGTTACAGGCCTCTACTTTCCCGCCAACGTATACTGATATTAAAATATTCGGTTAACAGGTTTACTGTATACCCATATCGGAAAAAAACTGTCAAATATAGTTAACAACACGTAATAACGATTAAGTAATATATTTTGATCTTATCGATATTTTTAAATTATTATTTGTTGCCCAAATATTGGCAAAATTTAAAGTATTATTCTTTTTTTAGATAAAATGTACGTCATGTCAGTTCAATCTGTTACACACGAGTACATGACACACGACACTGCACCATATACATTGTATGTGAAAACACTGGAAGAGAGTGACGGTAAGTCATCACAGCTGCAAATCCTCAAGAGCAAGTGGGGTGAAAGTGCACCCTCGCGGTGCCAATGGTTATAATTACTCTTTCTTCGATTTTTATGGGTACATCGAAATACCACCAAAAATATTTAGCTTCGGAATATGAAATTGACGATGTAGGTACCTATGTTGTCTTTAAAAAAAAAAAAACCTCAATCATTATACAAAATAATGTTTTTTTTTAATGTTGACTTGTGGATTACTAAATTATGTGAACACAATTGTTTTCTAAATTATTCATAGTTATTGAAATAATGAGTTCTATACGTTACAAAATCATCCTGCGAGTTTACGAGTATTGTCTACTCACAGCAGGCGTACATATAGGTACATAATCATATTATTTTATTTCCTGATTCCGGGACTGACATTACAGGAAGTCGTTAGGTATATCGCGTAAAACTATGCAACTTCATTATTGGTAGTGCACACTAGCATATCTCGAGGTCTCGGAATGTGTTGCAGACACGGACGAGTATGTTATTGGTAGTGCATATACACACAAAATCGAGTACACATTGTTTATACATTTATAATAAAAAACATATTATAAATATATCATGTATAGCGGCTATGTTTAAAGTGGCAAAAAAATACGAAGGGGGGGGGGCTGTGACCTCAATATTTATATTTATAACAATTTTTCGGACGTTCCATAATACATGAGTTATGAGTATAGGTAATGTAGTTTAAATAAAATTATATGTATCTAATTCTAGTAGAAACATGTATTTTTACCGGGGATTGGATTTAAATGCCCTTACAAAAATATTGAAAAATGCATTTATAACCAAAAAACTCAAAAAATCCCAAAAATTTACCCCGAATTTCTTCGGAAATCATTAAATCAATATCAATTTGTAAATCATTTTATTTATTACCCATGTTAGCTTACATAGTTTAATAGTTATAATATAATTGTATTATATTTTATATTTTTTTCACCATTTTTTTTGATGACTAGCAATTGATTAAAAAAAAACCTTAAAAAATATACAAATACCTAAAAGCGTTTAAAAATGCACTTAAACGTAAAAAACCTTGAAAATTAAAAACAAATTCTTCAAAACAGTTCGTTGTTAGTTTAATCTATATTTGAAACATATTTGTATCTTGGAAAACATAGAGTCTAACATTCCAGAAAAAAAATGCAAATGCTTAGAAATTCGAGCTCTAATCATTATTATTTACAATATTATTATGTGCTTACATAGGTACCTATTAAATATTATAACAAAAAAGTTATACAAATATTTTACATAAAAAAAATAAACAAAATTTATATAAATGAAATAATACTACGATATTAAGGTTTATTCCTGTATAATATATAATGTATAGGAGCTGGAGCTCTTATTTTATATTTTTAGTCACCCTATAGTCCATACATACCTATTTAAAGTTTGTATTCGTTGAATACGAGCTACAGCCATCGAACACATCATCTCTCTACCACAACCAAATTCATTTATTGAACCTCTTTATCATTGCACAACGGTTATCTATTTGGATGATAACAATGTCATAAAATAAAATAAAAAAACATAATATCATACAACAGTCAAAATAGTAAAGTGCAGTAGGTTAGGGAAATTCAATTTTTTTGTACATGTATTAACGGTAACGAAGGTCACTATAAAAAAGGTGAGCAAGTGCTGTGCATTAGGTGCCTATGGGTTACTGTAATGAATGTGTTAAACTTGAATACAATAACATCAAATTATTCATAGAAAAAAAAACTGGAAACATTTTTTAAATTTTAAATATCTATAAAATATAAATGTAATTGAAACATTATACCATAAACATATATAAAATGCTCATATTATACTAAAATCATTCGGTGAAAATTTCAAGTTATATTGTATCTACGGTTATTCATTTTTAAATTTCACCAAAAACCAAAACTGATTTTGTGTAAAAATTCATGTTTTTCCTCAATTTTTCTTTTGTTTTTCTCGACTCTTTTGAAAATTACTAGGAATTTTCAATTTGGACCCCTTGAATATGTGAAAAATAGATTCACTTTCTCACCAGAAAAATGACTGAAGTTGAAAATCGAAGGATTTTTTTGACTACTTATTGTGTTCACGGACATAAATAATAATTTAAAAAACACACCATTGCATCATTTTATCTAAAATTAGTCTATAGTTTCCTGGTAAACTCAATTATGTTATTATGATTTAGTGATACCACTAGTTAACACTGCGTTATATAGTTATATTATTTTGAGACAATTGTGTAATCTACAAGACAAATAACATAGGTAAGTGTAGATGGATAATATAAGTCTTCCGAAAAAAAACTAAAAGAGTGATGTGTTTGCCAACAAATTAATAATTCTTTGCGAGTAAATGCAAGGTTAAGTTAGGATTTTACTTAATTCTATTTCCAAAATATCTGTTTCCTATGCATAATTTGGATCTATGCCCACACATTGGTCTCTTTGATATAATACCATAGGATCTCTGTGGAAAAATCATAGCGATTTTTCTTTTCAAGGTATAACTCTCATATTATAGGGGTGAAAATTCCAACATCGCTTTTGTATGTTTTATTCGCTTTAACAGTTTTTTTGGGCAAACCTACTTGCTTATTATATTATATTGTCTTACTATAACTCAGTGTTAACGTGTTAACCAGCCGTGTTAGGTAGGTAATCGAAATAACAATGAATTCGGTTTACCAGAAAATCGTTTAAAATCGTACACAATAATAAATTATAGTCACGATAACCGAAATTAACCACCTGTATTATACGTATTACATAGAGGTATTATATATTATTATAATAATTATGTCCAACGACGAAGACGTGGCGGATTGGCCCGCTCCTTCCGTATGCTATACTCGATGAAATCGCATTATGTGTACACTTTCCCTCCAAGAACCCGAGGCTCATCGTCTATAAAGCGGAATAGGAGCCCGACGGATCGCGTATTGCTCGACAGTCGTCCGTGCGCAACACACACCGAGTAAAATATTACTACCTGTAACGACGAGCACCGCAACAATATGCGCAACGCAGTCATACTTTTACTGGCCGCGTTTTCCGCGGTCGCCAGGGCGGCGATCCTCAGGTCCGGCGGCGTCGAATTGCGTAAGTACCTGCTCATGTCTTAAACGCACACACATGCATTATACAATAGTATAATATAATATTATGTTATTGTATATTATTGAGTCTATGTGTACAATATTATGCAAATTCACACGTACCATATTATAAATTATATATTAAATTGTGTTCATACGAACATTGAGCGAAGTACAGTGTTTAGGTTTTTTTTTTTACGCAAAATATACAATTATATAAGAACACACAAAGTATATGAAATACAAGAAAACAAAATCATTAGGTATACGTAAAAAAAATTCATCAGCCTACCTATACAAAAAGAATCTGAAGTATACAAACGTTGAAAAGCCATAAATAAAAACTTTTTAACCCCCATATAAATGGCGAACGCAGATTCCTTAATTTTCAATTGAATCACATTTTTGATTTGATTATATTTCAAATTTCGTGATTAATGACATTAATGGTATTATGCATCAGATCACGATCAGAATATCATTTACTTGAGGTCTTGTAGGATTACAGTAATTATTGTTGAGGCTGTGAGATTTTTTACAGGTGGATTAGAATGGGAGATTATAGACCATATTATATTGTAGAAGTACAAGCTTTTGTAAAATATACGTAGATTAATTTCAATTTGAGATCGGAACGAATTGCATGGTTAGAGAGGTATGAAAGGGTGGTTAATTTTCTCGGTGAAATATTTTGGAAAGTTTGAATTTTTTGAGTTTCTCTATAATTTTAAGAACTTAAATAACTTTTTATTACTATTAGGATTAAACTGAATTTTGATAAAAATTAAAACATAAAGTATCATCTCAAATAATATACTGATACATCTACTTAGTACTTATATTCAAAAACCAATAGAATTTAATACTTAGTTTAGATGTATTTTGACTAAAAAGTTTCATAATATATTTGTATACTGACTATACTGAACCGTCGATACATATTTTGCACATATTCGTATTGGTATTCACGTGTAATGCTCTGTTTTTACTATTAATAAAATTGTCCTCTATGTACGTTTAACTATTGTTATTTATTTATCACTTCTATTGTTCATTATAATAGATTAGTTTTTGGATTACAGTTATACCTTTTGTCATTATAGTCTATGGAGTGTAGGTACATATTTTATTATTAGATGTATATTTTATAAAAAGGGCAGATTCCCGTTAATACCTATACGATTACATGTAAATAAATAAATGAATAATAATACAACAAATAACAATTATTATCTACTGGTGACATGGACTTTATGCGTTATTCTTTTGTTTTTTGCCTTTCGAGTTACCAACGATATAATAGTCTATGTAGGTATAACCAAATTTCTACATGCAATAATGTTATATAATACGTCGTTACGTATAATGATATATACGGTCTTTAAATAGTTGTATGAAAGACTTTACATCTTAATGTGCCTACACCCAGAGTGCGGAAGTCAGAATCTGTATCTATACTATTTGCACGTAACCGTGCGGTTATATATTCAAATTTTAGACTGCCTTGTTTTGGATTTGAGTTTAGTCAACTACAGAGTTAACGCATCGACTACTACATAACACCAGCCGGTTTTATTTGTTTTCAAAAAAATGTTATCGTTTGGAAATTATTTAAATTATTCGTCTATTAACGTTTATCCTAACTGTATATAATATATATTATTTATTATAGGTACCTATATCATTTTTGATTGCCTAATACCTGTTTTTGCATTTCTACAACCAATAGGTTACCACGATAGTAGGTTATATTTATACTTACAAAATTATGTTGTTACTCGTTGCGAAGTTGAGAGTTACGAAGTAGAACACTAGAACGGTTATAATTTATAATCTTCTTTACTAAATAGTTTTCATAAATAGGTACTTAATTCAAAGAGTATAATGGCATGTATCATGTATAATGCAATTGCAAATACAAACATATTATGTATCAAGTTATAGAAATGTAAAGTACATATTATACGGCTTAACTCAAAATTAGTTTTAAATAATTTATGATTTGAATTGAAATATATCGATTTTAAGTTAAAGGATTAACTGATACATAAATATAATATTATATAATACACTATTTTAATTTATATATACCTATCGGCTTAGTGCTCGTTTATGATGTTTTGAACTAATAACACTATAATATACAATAGGTTATTATTTCTCATTCAATCGGATAGCAATAATAGATATTATTATCATAGCAAAATAGGTACTTAAATGAATTCAAAATTTCTACAGTAGAAATACTTAAATAATTTATATTATATGACTAAACTATTGAATAAATATTTATGTAATAACAATATTTTTCATAGAACTCAAATTATTTAAATTTAAAATATCCAGTTTTTAATTTGTGTACTTGACATAGTTATATTCTTGCATAAACATTTAATGTTTTGCTGAATTAGTTTTTATAAATATAAATAACTCTAGGTTAAAATGATTGAATATTCATCATGAGTATGCATTTTACCATAACATATTTATAGTAGGCTATAATATATTGGATTATTAAAACGAGAAATACAGAATCGGTTCCCGGGTAAAATAAAGTGTATGATTGGTCCCCCCCCCCCCAAAAAAAAAAAAGTCTTATCCTTCTACTTATCTATTTTTCAAATTGGTTCACATAAGTAATTATAAAAAGATCTGATGAATACATTATTTTCACCAAAAATGTGGACAACGTCTTCATCTACTCCAGAAAACACCACCGGTTGTTCCAAATCGTTTGACGGGAAACATAATTGAGAATTTTATTTCACAATACTGATAAGTGATAACTATTATTGTTTATACTCGTATATATAAGACATGTTATCCATACCTATATGTATAGGTATTCTGGACACTCTTAAGTCTAGTTTATTTCCACACAGTTGTATTATTAAAATAAAAGTTCATCTGAACCTATTCGTATATTACCTGTAGACTACGTCTGAACCAATCGGTAATTGAGAACCAAGAAGTAGGCGTACAATTGAGTTAATTAAATATACTCACTGGTAAGGTAGGTACATAAAAATCGACTTTGTCATAATTTATTAATTATTGTTTGAATTTTTCTATATAACACAAACATGGTAAACCAAATATTACACCACAATATTGTATTCGACTGATTATAACGTTTTGTGATTAAAAAAAAACTTAATTATACTCGATCGAGATGCATATCGTTCAACAATAATTGGCACGCAGCTGCGCAGGCAATAAATTGGTAACCGCATCCGTCCTTTTCCTGTTTGCATTATACCCACAGGTGTTATCGCATTTTGAAAATTATAATCTGGAGAGAGTTCGTTGGATTTTCTCTACAAAAGACAATGAAAATGTAAAATTTCATGCGGATGAAAACATTGAGAGCCATAATACCGCGTATCAGTCTACATAAAAACTAATTTACTTGCATTGATTGTTGTCATCGCAGGGGAAATTTTACATTCACCGATATTATATATTATACACAATATACATAATATACAATATGCACTGTTTAAAAAATATATATTTATTATGAGTTTTCATAATAATATATCATAATAGGACGTACTAATAAAAAAAATTAACGGTTTCACCGTCGTCGCAGTCCATATATATTTATAATCTGTATATACGCAGTAGGTAGCGTTACACTTTCATTATAGGTACCTATATATTTCGCGGGACCGGATCATTGACCGCAGGTTATACATAGACATAATCAAAAGAACTGAATACAAAACATGTACATAAAACGCTTAAGTATAGGTAGCTGGTAGGTATATAACTGACACACATAGCGGTACAACTGTGGCAGTCTATAATGTATATATAATATAATATATATTATACATACCTACTCAACCTAAACAATTTGAAAGTGAATTTCGAGTAAAAGTTGTTTACTATACAAATACAATAACGTATGAATATGCGAAAGCTCATGTCTATTATATTACATTGTTTACTTTTAGTTCAAAGGAGATAATTTTGCCTAAAAAACAGAGGCATGCAGCAACCACGTTAAATTTGAATTATAAACAAATATTTATTCCTTATCCTATACGAAGGAAACTTACTGTACAATAAATAATTATAAATTCGAATTTGCTTATTTTTTTATAACTTATTCAAACACATATGGCCTTGAAGCATAATTAATTATTATTTGACCGTCCTCTCAAGAACCAACTCGATTAGTTGGGACTTCGTGTGGTGTTCACATAGAACATAATGTATAAGCGTATACAAGTATAAATACGTACTACGCACAAAGTTTACCTGAAGGTCAACTACTATACAAGCTATTATAATAGGTCCATAATATAATATAATAATAACATAAATGTATACTTAATCAAAACATCATCATTACGTTGTACACGCAATGCGCATCATCCAATGAGATATTAAAATAATAATAGTAATTTAGAAAAAAAAGGTTTAGCCATGGATTTGCTCGAAACATATACATATTATGAAAAAAATAATGAGCTGTTTTAAATTTAAACGTTCAAGTGGTTTAACAGTGTATTCGAAAAAACAAAATGTGTGTACATGGAATAAAAACATTTTTTACAAATCATTTATGTGCATCATAATTAATTATATATATATTATTACCCAATGAATATAATATTATTTATACTGTTTTTTTTGTAGCAACATACACAGATCCATGCAAAAGAAATGATAAGGACTTCAGTGGTTGTGTGAAGAAAACTCTTCAATATTTGATCCCCAAATTTAGCAAAGGTTAACATTCATATATTAATATACTACAACGGTACATAAAACTAACAGCCCAATCGGTGATGTAATTTTCAGAGGGAATTCCACAGTTGAACATCACATCTTTAGATCCATTCTATTTGAATGAATATCTTATGCATTTCGAGTCTACACAAATCGAAGGAAAAGCTCTATTCAAAGATGTTTACAACCATGGTTTAGGATCTATAAAAATCGTCGATGTCAGGTAGTTAGAATTGAAATAAATAATACATTGTTATATTTTTACCAAAAAACTCGTTCGAGTTAATTTGAGCATTAAATAATTTCATATCTGATGTGGAATACTCGTATATTCAATACTTTAAAAGCCGTTAATTTATCGAATAAAGAAAATACGTTTTGTTTTGGTGCGTTATAAATTGATTGAAGATATTATTTTTTTAGATCTGTTGTGGAAGACCCAGAACAATTGGAATTAGAAGTCGACTTTTACATGCCAAAAGTGATATCAAACGGCAAATTCAAGGGTGAGGGAAGAATTGGCCAGATGCCAATCATGGGCAAGGGCGTATTCAACGTGACGTCTTGTAAGTACAAAATTACTAAAAAGGACTAGTCAATGAAATTCGATTAAATAATTTTTAAAAACATTGAATTCAATTTTTGTGCACAGATGATGTGACCGGTTCGTGGATGTTGAAAGGCAATGCCGTTGAGTTGGACGGACAACGTTACATGCGTATCAAGGACGTTGGCATGAAATTAGACATTGGTGACATGAAAATATACGCGACCAACATGATCAATGGAAGTCCCGAATTGAGTGAGTATTATATACCAGAAAGGCGAATAAATATCGCGAAGAGAAAGCCAACCATAAAATATAATACGTGGTGTTATTATCAATATTCTAGGCCAAATGGCGTTAACCTTCGCTAACCAATTTTGGCGAGTGATATTCCAAATCATGATGCCGTACGCCGAAGAGGGTTTCGAGAAGATCACGAGACCCATTCTCAACCAAGTGTTCCTGGAGGTTCCTTACGACCAGCTGTTCCCGCCCAGCCGCAAATAAACCCTCCCTACAAAATCATACTTCTTTTTGACTTACCTTAAATTTTTCTCTGTGTTGTAGGACTATAGTATATTCTTACTGTAATATCGTAGGTGTAACAAGTTTTTATTTTCAATAATATTATAAAACACATCACCTAAAACTGGAACATGCAACCAGTAGGATATCCGACCAATGTTATTTATTATTAAGATTAATATTATATTTTGTTTTAAGCGACGTAAATAATTAATTTAATAACTGTGTATTGATGTATAAGTAAACTATGTTAAGACATAATCGCTGAATTGTTTTCCCTTTATCGTCCATCACCATCCCTCCAAACCCTAGATGTGTATTGCATATTTTATAATGTAGTCTATACGATTTGACTTTGAATTAATATAATACGTATAAAGGCAACTCCTAGCATGCCAACAACAATAACGCCAAGAGACATTTAAGTACGCAATACAGTGAAAATTATTTTGTTGTTTACTTATTAGTTGGTTTATACATCGACTTGGTACCGTTTATGTTTTAATTTAACATTGACATTCTATGTGTAATAGGCTTATGAATTATTATTAACGATTAATAACAACGTATTGTGTTTCTACAATCCGAACCGTGTGTATCGTTATACTCGTATTTTTGTGTCGGTGTGTTACTTTTGAATACGCGAGTATATAATGTATGTCTTTGTATCACATTGTTGAATAAAACATTTAAACAATATTCTCTGCCGTAGCCTCGTCAATGTGTTGTGTGTTACAATATATTGTATTAGGCATATTCGTCATAAATAAACAGTAGGTATGGGTAATATAGGTATTATTTGATGTGTATCATTTTAAATATTTTGTTCGCAACACTTTATGCAATATTAATTAGTCGTATATTATGTGATTGGGATTCATATATAAGTGGCAGACGGGGACGCGTGTTAAATGTCTAATCAAGCTTATAATTTATAGCACAAATCACTATAACCAATACTAAACTTCTTGCCATGAATATGTAACTAGGTATGTAAGTACATCATAACAATTGGTAACAACTTACGATGTTGCATAAATGTGTATTGTGCATAATATACACGTTCTCTAATTCATATTAAACACAAATTACGTAATAATTTTTTTTTTTCAGTACGGTGTTATAATCTACTTTGACACACGCAATCATTTATTTATTTTTAGTTATTACCTTGACTTCATTATGTATTTTAATTTTTAATATATACTCTGCAGATACGGGGAGTAAAATATGTTTGAAGTGTGAAACAAGTGAATTATAAAAACATAATAATCTAACAGCGGCGCTAAAAATCGCTTACAAAAGTTCTAAAGTCACAAAAAAAATTATAATAAATCTAATTGTAAAGATTCAAGTATTTCACATAATATTGTAGCCAATTTGTCAACAGGTATTCTGTATTCTACTCAAATCATAGGTACACATCAGTATCACCATAAGTTGAAGAGGCTATTACTTTACCTTTACCTAGTGACTTGGTGGGCCAAAAGCATGTGATCATAAGCGATAGGGTATAGGTACGTTATTACGATTAGTGTTGTTTGGGTAACTCAAGTCCTATAGGTAAACATAGAGTTTCTACTAAGAATTTTGATCAACTATTAATTATGTTTGATGAAGCGTAATCAGTAGAGCTTTACATCACTGTGATCTTCAAATAAAATATTATCAAACTATAGTTAAAGATAGTTACATTTTTAGCTTTTCGGTATAATACATTTAAAATTTAACCTATAAAACAGAAATAAAATAATTAACATACAAGTTTAAAAATATTCTGTTTTAATTAATAAAATCTTTATATATTTTCACATATTTTTAGTTAATAATTTGTTCCATGTGTTGCATATTGGTTAAGGATCTTTAATGATTAAGTATGAGTTCGTGAGGAAGTTTCGTCTGATTCTGATGCGAAAGCTGTGCACTGTTAAAATATGACTTAATAATTTACTTATAACCACAGGCTCAAATAGAGGGGGGCTTTAGACGCTAACCACCCTAAAATGTCCAATAACCCACCCCTCCCCAAACAATATTGAGAATTGGGATGAATCAAATATTATTGTATTAACAATAAACATTGGCTATAATTCATTATTTTTTTACGATTATTTATGAATCGATAAATTATAAAAAGTCAAATACGTGAAATTTTATTATCAAATTCGCATCTATTTTCCAAATAATTACCGAAAATAGGCCCAAATACACTTTTGAATAAGTCCTGGGTAAAAATATATTTTTTAAATTTTTTATGATTGTTCAACAAAATTTGAATTTTGTTAAAGGTTTATAGTAAGTGTAAGTAATGTGAGAGGGCCGAAGGGAACGAAGATGATTTCTGGAATTCTGTGATTTAGTAGATGGGAGTGAAAACGTTTATAAGCACGACTTATAGTCTGATATAGTCATATTATAGCATTTTAACGTCGACGCGAATAACTGTACTTTTTTGGGAGCCCTTGAGTATAAATCATAATTAATATTATACATTTGAATATTACCACAGACTAATAATATTTCTTGCAAATTGGAACATAATATAGCAATGTACATTTCCTAAAAATCATTGATTTCCAAAAGTTTTTGGTAGAAACGTCCTTTGGCAAAAAAGGAATCGAAAATGTTTTGATGGGAAACGGAGTATGGTGATGACGGACAATAAACTATTCTGGCGGAAATAAGTAATTACAGGAATTACAGTTGTTATGGTCTAGCTGCGTCCATAATTTTGCATCATACCGATGTCATTTCGCAGGAAGTACCTAGGAGATCGCAATAATTTAATCACCTTTCGCTGTCTTGCGTCATATTTAATAATCAATCATTTTAACGTAATAATATTTTATACTATAATCGTAATGACTTAATTGTGGACATTATATATATAATTTACAGTTAAAGAAAAATATTTAGTTTAATATATTAATAATATATTATCATCATATTGAAAAACATGAAACACGAAATACAAGCTTCTATTCGCGCACGAAAAAAGAAAACTGTACTTTTCTTATGAACAACCTGGTGAACCCATAACTATATATATTTGTGACGTAGTAGTAACTTATGTAATAATACACACTTTATTGTTACAGGCTTCGATATTTTTAGAGTTTGCGTGTGGTTTTTTCGGGATACCTCTCGGCTCTCATTGTGCATGACAAGAAATAGTTTCTCATATTTTTGGTATTTTAAGAGGACGCACACATATATTGTTTCTGCAGCCTTACAAAGTTACAAATGTACAACATGGACAATATATGTTCAGAAGTTCCAATTTAGTGTAGTATAACATTTAATAATACGCAATACAAATGTATTTACCTATAACACAACTTAAAGGAAAGAGAGGAATGATCCTTGTTTTCATATGGTTTTTTTACAATATTTTAAGGTGACATCAAAATTTTTAAATTGTAATATTTTACGTATTCATAACTTGCTTATAAATTAAAATATCGCAAAAAACCCATGTTAAAAGTTGTAACACAGATAATGTTCTCACCTTTATGCTCGGTGATATATTATTCGTTCTATAATTATTAAAGGTTACTAAGTACACAAAAATGAAACTGCTGAACACATATTTTCTGTGTCGTACGTTTGTAAAATGGCGTCAACACACGCGGACGTGACGTCCTCTTAATGGTATATGTAAACTTTAGCTTTTAAGTGACGTTATCGTGTATCATAAATACCCACCACCAAATAAACAAATGCCTGACAAATTAGCTATACATTTTTATTTTCAATTTTATGTAGCTGCGTGGCTTGCATGGATATGATGTAGGTATCAATTTCGAAGATGAATCTCCGATTTATGAAGATCGTGAACCTGAGGAATCTCGTGGTGGCAAAGAAAACATTTCCGGACAGAAATCTTCCAGGGAGTCCAAAACGCATGTGGCGTTAGTGGTGAATTCTCTTGGCAACAAAGTATCGGGTACCATAACCACTTGCATCCCGGCCGCTAAAGCCGCGGCCACACCGTTTGGCGAGTCTTCGAACACCAGGCACTATATTATAATATAAAATACAAGAGTGTATATCATTAGAGTATCATCATTTTTCAATATTGAATTATTTATACTATCAGACATTCAGGTGATAATCAGTCTAATGCGTGTAAAAATGTTAATCAATTAAGATTTGATTTTCTATTAGGTTGTGATGTAATTTGTAACATGTAGTGAATATGTGATATTAACTTAAGATTAAAAATTGTGAAACGTTCTGTGGTACATTATGTGCCTGTAGAGGGAGTCACCGTAATGGAAGTGTAAATATTTGAATTTTTTTACTTTTTTCCTACCAAAAAAGGTACCAATTAAATTCGCTTTCCTACCAGAAAAAATGCTGAAGTAGAAAATCGAAGCATTTTATGCTTCAAAAGTCGGCTAAAAATGATAACTGCAGAACATGGTATATGGTATCACTGTACCATACTATCATATCATAATAATATAACCATGAAGATTAGAGATCTCTAATCTCTAATCTTCATGAATATAACATTGAGAATAGCAATAACAATCTATATACAGATTTTTTATCGAAGTCTATTGTTTATAGCCTAAGAGCTAGTTGTACCATCTCTGATTAAAGGTAACCGAAGTTTAATCGGCTGAATTTGGCCGGTTATAAAATCTGTTAACAGTTGATACAGCGTAATCGAAGTGTAACCGTAGACGGTACAACTGGCCCTCATAGTGGGCAACTGAAAATGATTGTGTTTATTATTATTACCATGATATGTTGCAGGAGTAGATAAGTACCTACCCAGAGGGTCGAGGGGAACACAATATGTGAACTTAAGTCATATTATAGTGATTATTAACGTTTTTGTTTCTTAAATTACATCAAAATACCGTAATATATAATTTAACGGTTTAAGGTAAACCAAAAAACTTCACGATGTGCTTATTATTATTACTGTTTATTGTTTAATATGGGTGTTGTTAATATTACTATTATTGAATAAACTATTATTTCAATATAATTTTCTTACTTTTTTATTTTTTCTATTTACAAATTATAATTTTCTAAATCTTAGTTGGTCTGTTGAGCTTAAACATACTATTTTGAATCAGGTTTAACCCGTTTATATATCACATATAAATTAACAAATAAATTACCTTGCTGTTCTCTGGACACTCCGGAAACCTGGATGCACATATATTGAAGATGTCCGGCGCTGGTTTGCCTTTCTTAACTTCCGGATCGGAAGAACCGGTGACCACGTGATGAAACATGGAGAATATGTTCTTTAGATGATTCGTCTTCCTGCGGAAACCCCCTTCTGAACTACTCGTTGCTATCGCAATCGGTATCTTGTGCTGACAGAAGTGTTCCAAGAGATCTTCGACTCCTGAATGGTTAACAAGTAATAATAAATGGTGTATTTATCCGGGCTTTATCATTTTATATGCACTTAAAATATTTGAACATTGGTTAAAATTTAAAACAAACTATTGTTTGGTGTGGTCTAAAAATGCTTGGTAGATCATCGAAATGCATACACTTTCCTACTACTCCACAATTTTGTTCAGTTATGGACTTAATATTTGTACAAAATATGCTAAATATAGGTGCTTGATATTAATTGTTGCACACGTTTGTTGTACGTATCTACCGACACGTTGTTTTGTGATCATGATATTGAACATCAGCATAGATACTTTTGAAAAAAAAATGATTAAACTATATTTAGTTGAAAATTGCATTATTCTGTCTAAATTTCTAATACTAACATCTACTCGAAACAATTAGCATAATATGATTTAGAGTTTATAGAGTACTTACGTTATTTTTAATACCTACATCTTTCTATATATATGTTGGAAAATGTACATACAAATATAAAATCTTAAGAGTAAAGTTTATATGTAAATTAAATGATTTTCGTAAAATATTTTATGAAAATATCGATTCATTTTTATATGAAGTAATTTATCACTGGTGAAATTTCTAAAAAACACGCACGAGGTCTAAGGTTTGATTTCCTATATCACATAATATAGACCAGTAGGTATTTCCCAACTTTTTTGTTATGTGGACTCACACAAATTTACTTTTCGAAAAATACGCGCGGGACAGGACAACCCACTAATAAAAAGTCAAGTGCACCATAACATATTAATATAGTAATTTTACCTAATAGTTTTTATAATAATCAATATATTTTATCGCTCAATTTTTATGTAATGCAATACTGAATAATGAATAAACTTATTTTGTTAAATATAAAGATTATTTTTAAATAAAAATATTTAGGTGTAAGTACTTCAAAATAAAAATAATACACAAAAAAATGTATATAATCATATGATTACAAAATTTTCCACGACTGTTACAAGATTCTACAAAAGTTAATAAAAATATAATGTATTATATCCATTATGAGATCTATGTCCTACAATACTAGCTGAACTTCATATAATTATTATACGTAGAGGTATCAAATAAAATATAATATAAGAAAGTTTAATCAATCACATATTATTTTCATATTTTATATATTTATTTATAATCAAGATAGTTTCCTTATTAGTTTGCAAACATCTGAAACCCATCAAAATGTTTTCGTGACCCATGGGTTAGGTGAAAACATAACACTGATATAGCCTATAATTTAACATAATATGTACCATGTCCATGTAGGTGTACTTAGTAGTTAATACCATCTTTGTTTTTAATATTAATGTACTAATATTTTATCTTATCTTATCTAATATAATATTTATTGTAAGTGATCGTCAATAGACATAGTCCGAAATATAACCTATCAAACTATAAATAAATTACTACCTACCTCCAAAATACGACATTAATATTTTATACTACAATATATAGTATAATTATACACTATATTTTGTACATTACTAAAGTAAAAGCATACAGACATTCCGGTATGGTTTATCCTTTGTTATATTATAAATTATAATGCAATGTTTTTTTTTAATAATTAATTTATACCTATTACTGTGAAAAATATCAACCATTCAAAATTCCAAATTATTTAAAGAATTTTTATTCTGTAAATCCTCTTATGATCATAAATAATTTAATGTTTTAAAGATTACTAGGTATCTAAAAGTAATCTACTTACTAAAGTACTAAGTACCTACTAACCGTTCATAAGTGTTACGCTATTTAATTCTTTTTCTTCCTCGATACGAGCTTTTTCTAATAATTCTTCGGGTGTTAAATTCAGTTGCAATGTGCTGATAATCAATTTAGCGACGTCCATTTCTTGTTTTCCGAGAATTTGTAAACGTAAATCATCGGGAAATTCTTTACCATAATCACTGGCGATTTTTGTATACGTTTTCTTATGAATCCGTTCCGTATCTAAACGTTAAAGTGTGACATAATAATGATAAGCACATAAGTACTTAGATATAGGTAGTAAATTACACATAAAATGTGTTTAATTGAAAATTTTAATTTACATATTAAGATTTATATTATGGTAATTCAAATACATTTTTAGTAACTTAATTAATTTAAATTTGCAAATTACAATTTAAGAAAAAAAGTACCTAGTATTTCATATTTGTTTCACCTACCTATATTAGTCATAACATGTACCTACGTATAAATCATCGATCGAAATTAATTATACTACGTATAACACATAAGTATATTTACTTACCTAATAGAGTTCCATCCAAATCAAAAATTACGTGGGTCACAGGTTTAAATGTCGGTGTACTCATTGTTGGTTTTTTACTCACTATATCTATGCAGCAAATAAATGTTATTCTTACAGCGGAGTTGTAAAATATTATGTAAGCACACTGAGTATAATATGTGTTTATAAAATGAATAATATCATAAAATATAATATATACAGGATGAGGTTACTCAGCTACTGAAAACTTATTATCAGCTATGTATCGAGCCAATACAATTTTTTTTTTTTAGTATTATATTTCCGCACTTTTTGTTGCACCTTTGTCCTTTAATAATTATAATTTGTTCCTATATTTATGTATGCAAAATAATACCATTTTAATAATACAGTTATACACATTTATTCGCTTAAAATAAATGTATGGTTGTAGGTATAACCGTATAAGTATACTTAATAATTTCGTTGAATATATTGAATGTATTGATTTTACAATGATGTCATTTATTTTACGTCACTTTTAGAAGTCAGTAAAATGATTCAACTTTAAGCTTAATAGTATTGGAAGGAAAATTAGACCTAGTTTGTATATCGAGTACAAAGCACTAGCACTAATCAAACTAATCGGGAACAACTAAAAAGAATTATGAGTAAGCAACAACAGTTATGGACAATATCAATTTTGTTTTTTTTATCGTAATTAAAAAATATACAACTGTTGAGACTTGGAATATTCACCGAATATGTATAATGTATATTAGCATTTACTAGACATAATAAAACTTTCAAAATATTTTGTTTCTTATAGTTCTATATTCATAAATATTTTACATTTTCAACTTTTTTTAGTTTATTTTCGATTTATGTAAGGTACAATATATGTTTTTGAGTAAAACACTTGAAAATGTCATAGAAGGTTCTTCATAACATTTTATTATTGCATTTAAAAAAATTCAAAAACAAACTATTAATCATTTTAAAAAATTTACGAAATTCGTATCAAATTCATAAAAAATATTGTTTTAACAACTTAGGTACAATATAAAGCATGAGTAAGAAACTTTTACCTACTTATCTATGTTAACAGATATCTAATAAATACTTGCAATCTTTATTTATAGTCCTTTCAATGTAAGTATACCTATGTTTACATAACGCTAACATATTTTTACCCCTCTCGCCTAATTTAAGGTTTCTGATTCTTTTCTACTATATGCAGGGTAGTCTTTTCTACTATATGCAGTGTATTGTTCGTGGAGCCTTTAGGTTGCTAAGAAAGTTCTACGGAGGCCCAACAATTTTGAATGCTCATAAAATACATAATATACACAATGATATAATACCCATGAAAAATGGTGTATAAAAGATTTGTTTGTTTAATATAGGTAAAATAGCATTGTTTTAAGCATTGTTTTCGACAACAAAGTATGCGGGTAAATAAATAAATTAATAAACTAAACTTGATAAGCCAATTAATATTATTTTAATTTAATGCAGATATGCCCTTAGACTCCACCGACGGCGCCAACGCCCAACACTGTTTGAGAGCAGCTGCTATATGGTGAACACATTGTACATTGGGTATTTGAGTTTCAGTACAATTCAAAAATGGAAAAAACAAAGACTCTAAAGCAATTCATATTTAAAAAAAAAACACCAATGGGGATCAGTTATCTGAAAATCCAGGAGACTGAATTAAATGATGGAGGTTCCACCTGTCACTTATCTGGACTTGATGCAGGATACGGCAACTAAAATAGAGGACCCGGTGGTAACAGCAGAAACGGTCAAATCTATAGATGCCGATGATTTTATTCAAGAACTAAAAATTCTTTAGGCATATGTTGTGCTGTGTGTAGTGTCGAGCAATTGCTGTTGTGGACGCTGATAAATAGTGTTCAAATATCGTTATAGATTAGATGATTGTAAGTTTATGTAAAAAGTAAATTAAGTATTGACCCTAAATTGCATTGATTACAAATATGTGTTTTTGGGTTCTATATTATTAGCTATAAACGCCAAAACACAGTTGAAAAAATATTAGCAAGTGAACTAGGTATCAAACTGCTCCACAGTAAGTGTCAAGGAGGTCACCGTATTAAATTTGTTAAATTTTAATTCAATGATATAAAAACATTGAATACGAAAACGATTCTGTACGAAGACTTTCTGTTGTCATCTTAATCAGTGCCCCCAACTAGGTATTGTTGGGCCACAGTGGCGTAGCCAGAGGGGAGGCTGAGGGGGCTGCAGCCCCCCCCCCC